CGGACGTGCGGGTACGGCGCGGCTACACTTTGTCCGGGGCCGACGAGAACTCACTAACGAACACTCCGTCGTGTGTGTGTGTGTGTGTGCGGTGTGTGTGTGTGTGTGTGTGTGTGTGTTCATTCGGCGCGTGCAGCTGGACAACAACTACGCGGTGTCTCAAAGAGTAGGCTTCATCTCGCTGCCACTGGCCTGCCTGGTACGTTCGACTCTCTTTGCTCTTTCCTGACTTCCATGTGGTGAGCTGATAATTTAATTTAATGTATTATTATTTTTATTATTATTCAGGTGGGCCGAATCTTCTCCCAGATCTTCCCCTGGGGGACCTGGTGGAGCGCCGCATCGCTTCTCCTGCTCTGGGTACACGTCCGACTCTACTCTTTTGCTTCTCTCACACACTTGCGACGACCGCCCACTCACGTTCCTACAACTGCTGCCCCCAGCTATGCTTGGCGGTGTGCAAGTGGCTGCTGCGAATACAGCTGATCGCGGCCTGTCTACGCATCTCGCAGGAAGTGCCGCCCGCGAGCGTACGTCGTACCACCGCTCCCCCAAAACAGCAACCAAACCACACCCGCTATCGCGTTGTTGCTGCTCACTCACCTCCGTTCTCGGCCGGCGCAGGAGGAGGAAGAGGAGCGGAGCGCCAAGGAGGAAGAGGCGGAGCTTCTAGCACTGTCGGCGGTACAGAGGTACCAGATGTGTGCCGGCAAGATCCCCACCTGAACCGACGGGCCAGGGAGCAGAAAGTGGGAAAATTGCCGGGCACCACTTCGGCGGAAATTCCGGGTGGGGAATGCCGGCGATTGGGGGCGAACTCCCTGGGTTCGTTGCGCGCACCTGGTCGCTGCGCAGTTCGTGGCCAACGTCCACCTCACTTACACTAAACCACTTCATCTCCTACACACCACTATCTGACCCCTCTATCGTCACCCACCTCACCTCACCTTCACACCAAATGGCGACGATGACGCAACCTCCTCTGTTCGGCCAGCAGCTGTTTCTGTCGCCCGAGCTGACCATGACCGACATCACGGCCATCCTCTACACCATGGCGCTGTGGGCGATGATGATCTTCCTCCCCAACTGGGAGTACACCATCAAGCTCCTCCGCACCCCGTTCTGCCTGCTGCCCCACCTGCTCCTCTACACCCTCAACATTCTGCCTCACTACCCGCGCAAGCTCGACCTCTTCATCCACCCGACCGTCAACGCCACCTACTCGAGCGTGCTGCTGGGCACCGAGGGCCTGGACGTGCTGGCCGCCACCCACTCGCTCGATCTCCACCTCCTCACCCTCAATCTCTTCGTCGGCCGATGGATCTTCTGGGAGGGCCGCCACAACATGCCCCACGCGCTCCTCGCCGTCTGCCTCTTCCTCACCATGTGGAGCGGCCCCGCCGGCCTCGCCTTCTACCTCCTCGCCTACAAGCTCCGCGAGAACATCAAGTTCTAAGCCCCCTTTCATCACGAACAAGGACTTGTTTGTTGCTTTCCTCTTCATAAATAACAGTTGACGCGAGGAGTATCTACATGTGTGTGTTGGGATGGCAGCTACGAGAAGTAGTTGACTTAGCAGTCGCGGATGTGCAGCTGGTCGGCGTAGTCGGGGAGGGCGGCGAGGAGCGCGGTCAGGGTACTCTCGATGCCCAACGCTGTCATCGCCTTCGCCGTCGGCCAGGCAGAAGCGGGCAGGCCTTCCGCGGGTCGCGTGGTACTGCTCTGCACGCTCCAGGGCCTCCACGTCGTCCATCTCGTACACGAGGCCTACAACAGAAGATGAAAGAGAAGAAGAAGAAGGAGAGCGAGTCACAAGGTAATGAGAAGGTAAGTGATGAGCACGATTTGTAGTTGGCCGAGTGGAGCGTACGAGAGCGAGGGCGGCGCCGA